TTTTATCCGTAATTTTAAAATATAAAATTTAAGATATTTTTAACCTATTGACTTTAAATGTTATAAGTTAAACAAACCTTTCACGAATAGTAACAAACACAAATATAACCATCCTCTCCTTTTCGTTCGAATAATAAGAGACTTCCAATTTCTGGAAGAAAAAAACCACTGAGTCAGCTTATGTTGCTAATACATTAACGTGACAAGAGAGAGGGCAACACCCTTTTCTGTATCCGAATGTAAGACATACAAGGAATAGCTCTTCTTTAATTTCCGGATCTCCACATTTGTTCTAATGTATTGGCTTATAGTTCAGTTCAGTGTACTTGCAGCGCAACTCCACTAAAATGCAATGAGTATTCACTGAAATAAATACACATGGCAAATGCATGAAAAACATAAACCCTTCAAAACAAAAATTAACGATTTCTCTCAGGTATGTTCTTCCAGAATTGTACCCAAAAAACATAATAGAAACCCTTCGTCAATAAACCCAACATATTTTTAGCTCTCAATGTTCTCTTCTCTTTGTTTATTTGAAAATAAAAAAAAAAAAAACAAAATTTGTTTCATAAAATATGAATATCTAGTGCATTCCCAGGAAGAATTGATGAACCAAATAATTCAGACTTCAAAGAAAACAGACTAAATTATAGTCTCACTTCAGATATCCTGGATTTGGATTTAGTCACAAGGATGACCTTTCTCTACACTACATATAAGAGAATCTACACATAAGAAAAGGCCACTTTTTTTTTTTACTACAGATGGAACATTTTTTGAGTTGTTTATAAGCAGAGAATCTTAAGCAATGTCTTCTCTTAAGCAAATATCTTTACAATCCCAAGAATTAAAAAGAAAAAAGTCTCTCTTAAGTAAACTTAAATGTGTGACAGTAAAACTTCTGAAGCATGATCTAACAACAGTCCTTATACTTCATTGGCTTAGATTGACTGGACTATTCAGCCTCCCCGCAACCTGCAGCCATCATCATCTATAAATATATATATACTTAACAGTAACTGCAACTGCAAGGAGAAGAGATAAATGAGTCAAGATCCAGTGCAACATAACAAAATTATTGAAGACCACACAGGACAACAATTAATATTTAGATAATAAATCCAACCAATTAACAGATCAACCATAAACTTGTGTTATTGAAGACAATGAAGAAGAAGAAAAAGGTGTAGAGCTCCCTTCAATCCAAACAAGGATCTAACTAAAGGTAACGAAGCTCCTGAGATATGCATGCCACAAGCCTACCCAGAAAAGCTCCAGTGGTGGGATAGGGCTGAGGGATCCATAGCTCAGCAGCTCTATATACCCTGCAAGAACCTCTATTGGACTTCAAGGAGCTCCACTCATCACCATCATCATCATCTAACTCAAAACCCATCTCTCCCTCTCCATTCTTTCTCCTTAACAGAACTTCAGTCAAAACCTTAACCCTAGATAAAACACCCCAAAAAGGAAAAGAAAAAGAATAGAATCCCGTTTAGGGCAAGAACCCAACAAATCTGGAACCTCCAAGCACCAACATCTACATCTTACCACTATGACACCTAACCTTAAAAATAAGAACAAAGCAGTGAAGGATCACTAATCGATTTTGCCCATGAATGAAACCTCCAGATCCATGGGCCTTATATTTGCACACAAACCCTAACCCCTCTAACCCGGTAACCCTAGTCCCCAAAACCCTCCATCCATTCATGAGCTGCAACCCACTAAAAGACGTGACTGGGGATAAAGGATGAGGCTGTTAAAATAGAGGGCAGGCGATTTATAGCGACTTTAAGGGTTTGAAAAATAATGAAAATAACATATAAAAATATAATAATTGATGATGATGGTGGTGGGTCGGCAGTGAGCTGTTCTCGGGAACCTGGCTCCTTAGATTCCCTGTTTTCATAATCATATCTTCACATGCGTTGGCATTCAGATTTCAGAGATTGTACAACGATATTTATTACACAAAAAATCCCCAATTTATCGGATGTTGTCAATCCGACATAAACTACAGTATTTTTCCTTAGGTAGATCCTCTATTTTTAAATAATTATTTTTTTAAAATAAAAATAAATTTACTGTTTTACGTATGTATTATTTTAAATTAAATAATAAAAATATTTAATTAGAGAAGTCAAATTTTAAAAGCTTTCAAAAGAGTTATTATTTTATAATTTAAAATAATTGAAATTATAAAATAATTTTTTAATTAAAAATTAAAAATTAATATATATTTATTTATATTATTTTTAATAAAAAATTAAAATATAAAATCAAACTTTTTATAATAGGTTAGTTAATCAATAAACAATGATGAGTTATGGTAGAAAAAAATTGTCCATTTTAAAAAATAAAAAATAAAAATAGTTTGAGAGAACTAAAATTAAAAAATGACAATTAATTTAAATTAGATAGTGTATTATAAGAATTTAAATATTGAATTATCTTGGTACATTTTACTTATTATCATTGGCTGTTCGGTTGTGCTATGGTTATTATCATTGTTAATTTTATTAAAATTATTAATTTTATTTTAATTTGATTATTAAAAATAATTAATAATTAATAAAATAATTAATATTTATTATTTATATTTTTAACCTATATACTAATTTTTTTGTTATAAATGCATATACAAAATATAAAAAACTGACATTAATTTTGTATTAGTAGCAAATAAATAAATTTAATTATATAATTAAAAAATTAAAAGTCAATTTTTATTTTTTAACACAAATAAATTGTATTTTTAACTTATACATTTAGAATATAAATTAGATAAACTCTTGTTAATTAATAGATTAAAATTAGTTTATAAACAAATATTTCTAAGTATTATAACTAAAAAATTAAAAAAACTATAAACAAATAAAATTACTGGTAAAATTAATGATCTTAACAAAATTAATGATGGTTATAATCTTACTTCTTTGGTTAGAGTCTATTTTTATTGGAAGAATTTTCACCTCAAAAGTGATTAAAAAATATTCTATGAAATATTGTAAGTTTTATAATAAAATTTGGTTAAAATTTTATTAAACTATTAATTGTTTTATATGGTAAAAATTAATGTAAAGAAGTTAAGAAAAAGTTATCAAATTAGTCTCACATTAAAAATTTTTTTTAAAAAATTCTTGAAAAGAGAGTGAAATGAAAATTTTATTAATTAATATCACTTTTATCATTTTTAGTTATATTATTAAAATGTAAAAATTTATAAATAATTATAAAGGAAGAAAAAGAAATGACTAAGGGAAAACCTTCCCTCTAACCAAGTACACCTTTTATGTATTTTTAAGTAATATTTTTTATAGTATGTGGTTGATAATTTAAATTTTTATTATATAAAATTATTTAACAAGAATTAGTGTTTATTAAAAAAAATTTAAATTATTATTTATATATTATAAAAAATACTTTCCAAAAACATAAGAAGTATACAGGGACAAATAAAATAGACATATACACGTATATCAAGTATTGGGCAGGGACGGAGCCAGTATAGGATCAAGGGTCAGTTCTCCTCTAAACCTTTGAAAACTATTAAATATAATACAAATTTTTATTTTTATAAAATTTGTTTTTAAAATTTGAATTATAAGAACCATTTAAATATAATAAAAATATTAATAACTTAGATAAAGAGATCATTTGTAACTAATTCTCATAAAGATATTAATTTTATCTAAATAAAAATAAATATAAAAAATACTCTAGTCTAATTATATTAAATAAAAATGATATATATAACTCATTACATTGATTGTAAATAATTTTTATTTGTATAATTAATATTTTATTAGATTAATGGTTAAATATATTTTATTTATGTAAATATGTTTTAAATTTAAAATTAATCTGATATATGTAACTTTATAAAAAAATGAATTATATTTTTATATTATTTATTTAATCATTTTAAATTGTATATTATTAAAAAATAATTAAATATATTTAATTCATTTAAAATTTAACATAAATATTATAAGTGGTACATACATCAAATTAATAACTGATGTAAAAAACTAAAAATAATATAATATAAATTAACAAATAAATCACAAAAAATTTAAAAAATTTACTCCTCTAATATAAATTCGTGACTCCGTCTCTAGTATTGTGTACCTTCTTGTGGAATGACGAAAGGT